GTAAAATATAAATTTAATGATTGTAATCTTACTGTGTAGACAAGTCAACTTGAAACAGCTAAAGAACATTTTCAAAAGGTTATTGCGAACAGATTACATGTAAATGCCATTGAATGTGGTACCTATGGAATGTGAACATAGAAACAGATACCCAGATCTGTATTCCATGATTTGTGTGGAGCCAGGGAATACTTGAGTGAATGTGTAATGAGCAGATGAAGTCCGAGTGAATGTGTAGTGTTCACATGGGCACAACCATGTCAAAGACAAATGCCCCAACGCATGGGAAACTGGCAGGCAAATCATCAGCTCAAACTGCATAGTCAGAGTGAAACTGAACAGTGCGCTCGGCACAGTGGTCCACAAGTGGATGGCAGGGTCATTGCTGTGACACTATGTCTGATTTGTGCCAGCTTCTTAGTTCCCCAGGCCAGAGACACCAGGAATGTACCTGCTATTGCACCTGCCACGGACATTCCATATTCCTCTTTAACCCCCTGGAACTGACACCTCAGAGTATCTGTCTACCAAGAAGTTTAGGTTTTGTCCCTGTATGGTGTCTTTCCTCATCACTTCCAGGGGCACAAGAGTCCTTCCCTCCCTCCCCTGTTCTTGCACCCAAGATCTTCAGTTAGGATCTTAAGTTAGGTTGTAGGGAGTGTGGTTCAGATCCAGCTGTTTGCAACCCAAAGAGAAGTACCAGGGAGGCATCCTTTGTCCCTGTTTCCCTAGGCTAGGTAGAACCCAGTGATCTGAGTCACAACTCAACAACCTCACCTAACTACATGAACTTTCAGTCTGCTAGAATATAGGGATGGTTCCCCAAAGAGGGTGTGTGTTTCTTTTCATTTGGTGAAACAGGAATGTTGTACTTAGATGGTAATGCAGATGAAGTGGTGCCCTTAACCTCTCACACGGCACAAATGACTAAACAGAAACCTTGAGCTCTCTCTATAGAACACAGGTTCAGCAAGAGCTATGATAATAGTGTTTGCTTAATGTCAGCTCAGCATTAAATTTACATTATAGTCTTGTGCAGAAGCTCCAGCATTATCTGTTAATAACCAAGGCGGTACCTGGGTTTATATAGACTTCTTGATTTTGCACATGAGCTAACACCGTAGCCTGCTGATGAATGATTATGTGAGCTTAGAGCTTTGGTGTGCCAAAGGACTCTTTGAATGGATAGAATTCTGGTCAGTGAAGGTCAGTTTCTCTACTCAAGCGAGAACAATGTTGTTTCCCTCCTAATCAGATGCACACAGTGGTTGAAAAATCCAGGAGCCCCACATAAGTGATGTACAGCCACAGCCTGGGCAGCTCGTCATGCCGAAGTGAATAATCCTTAATAAAGGCTCAAACAACCATAGCATCTTCCTGCACTATAATCAGTTGCTTTCATGGTGTGCCCTTCAGTGCTTCTCGGGGAAATGCTATAAAGTTAAGTTACCTTCTCTATCTTGCTTCAAGGAAGGCTGAATTGGTCCAATCAGTCCTCCCCCCATGTTGTGTTTGATTCTGCCATAAAGACCAATGAAGTCTGTCTCTGTTGTGGGGGAAGGCTGGTTTCCCTTTCTCTTTCAGGGGATCCGTGCCTCTGAGTAGCACTAGACTTGGAGCAGCAGGAGTCACTGTCTTTATTGTTAGGCTTCAGAATTTTCTTTAAGCACATTCTAAATCCAGTTTTATGCTTTTCCTACTTTCTTCCCGTCTGTGACAAAGGTGACCCAATTGTGCTTCTTTGATATTATGAGCACAGTTCTTTGTGTTCCTGTCACAGAGACATATAACAAAATACAAAGGATAAAATTGTGTCTGTCTGTATAGTAGGAATACTTCTTTCATGACTAAAAGGACATAATTTTAAAACAATGTTGTCAGTAAGGCCTAGGGTTACAGGTTTCTAATCCCAGCTGCTTAGAAGGCCAAGGCAGGCAGAGTTCAGTTTCAAGGCCATCCTGGACTACAGGGTCAATTCAAGGACAGCCTGGACTATTTAGTGAGACTCTTAGAGCTTTTGCCCAGCATTTGTGACTCCCTAGGTTCAGTTCCCAGTACAAGGGATTGGGGTGAACTTTTGTCAGCTCATGATTGGGAGCTAATAGGCAGAGACCACTTTTCAGAATGTTTTTTATAGTACTCAGTAAGGTTCAAAAATAATCAAACTAATGAAAATGTCACAGTGATAGAGTGGCCCTCATAAAGATTTTACTTCAAGAAAACATAATTGGTGAATGTGACTTTGACAGCAATGGCGTAAGGGTTTACAGAGTTAGTAAAACGATCTCAGAAGAGTAGTAAAGTGCTCCCATTGGAGTATATCATTTTTCATTTAATTTTTTATAGCTATAAGTGAACTTCAAGAATTAAGGAATTTTAATTTAGTATCTGTCTAGCTGAAGAATATGGAGCTTTTTCTTCATATCAGGCTCTAATGTAAATTTATAATACACTTCTGTGAAAGAAATAAGTTAATTGAACAATATAGTAAAAATGCATGTACCTTAGACCATTAAAAAATACTCAAGTAAAGCTGCACAGCATTGATGCCTTTCTCGGTAAACAGATGTGCGCGGTTTAAGTAATTAACGTGTGTGAAAGCAGAAGCAGCAGAGAACAGCAGTAGCTGTGCGTGCGCACAGTGGCCGTAGCCTCACTGAAGACTCTACTTAGTTGTCTGGTTGATTGAACAAATATTCCAGCAAATCTGAAGTGAACGGCAGCTCTGTTTACTATGACAGCCTTTATTTGTCTTGGGTGCAGCCAAGACCACATGCTGTGTTGTGTCATGTTGGAAATACTGAAGCCAATTTCCATTGTGGATGTGAATTTTTTTTTAAAGCCTTAACACCTCAGTCTCAAGTCAGCTCGGTAGGAGCAATAAGTTTTCTTTTCCCTTCCATTCGAGCCAAACATCAATAAATCCTCTGTCCTTCCCCCAAAAGCAGGTAGCAGTAGTTCGCCATCCTGATTAGTCTGGGTACACTGCCCTTGCCCCTCCCATCCTCCTCATTTCCAAGGCCTGTATCTGCGCTGTTTATAAAGCTAACTTTATAATTTATGTGGATACCCAAGCTTACACTCAGTTGAGAATCTCACAGAATGTTGTAGCTTTGTTTACATTCGCTTTCTACAGTGATTCTAAACAGCAGATTCCTGCAGAAGTCATATTACATTCCTCTTCCTTGCATTGCCAGGTCATTTAGCTAGCAGGGAAATCTGGGTAGAAGTGGAAGGCTAAAGGATTGTGAAAGAGGTAGGGGAAAGACCGTTGCTTTGAGTATCTGAGCTTTTTGTCCTGTGGTCCTTACTGTAGTTCGGTATGAGCTGGTAGGGTGTTTTTCTAAAGTCCTATCATTCTGTCTGAAGTGAGTTTAAGGCTGCTTTATGCTGAGGAGCCTGTTGCCAGAGAAGGGTAGCACTTGATAAAGGCGTGCTCTGTCAAGTGGAGCCCAGGAGGTCTGAAGTGGCGGCAGCAGCAACTGAGTGCCTCAGTCCAAAGTCAATAGACACCCCAAAGAGCAATGCCTTTTAGCTTAGAGACAGGCCTCAGAATGACTGGTGTCCACACGGAGCGGTGGAGCAGAGGTGAGGTTGTGGGAGGGAGAGGCTCATTTTAACACTCGAGCACCTGTTCTGTTCGCATCGATTGTGCATGCTGAGAAATACTGGTGCGAACAATACCTGCTCTTACAGAGCTGCGCCGTAGAAGAAGGGACAGAAATTACTGTAAATAGTAAGGGGCATCCTGAAACGGAAGCACATGTAGTGAGGCTATGCATCAGGTTGGTTCACAAAAATATTGTGACTGTGAGGCTAGAGAATTACAGGCTAGCTGGCATTGGCCAGGTGGTCAGTAGACTTCTCAGGGAGGTAATCTGAGTCCTAGTGCCAAATGAGGAGAAGCTATGTGCTCTTCGTTCGAGAAAGAAAGGCAGGCGCAGTGCCACTGATGTAGAAATGGTCGCTAGGTGTTCAAGGAGTAGAAGGGGAACTTTCCCAGGAGCCCCTTGCCCATGTAGAGGAAGAGAAAGTGGCAGGTAGAGTTAGAGAGGGAAGGTGAAATTGAGAGATAACGATCCCAGGAGTAAGTTCATCCTGGGAATAGCTGTAACCGGTAAAGCTAACTATACACGAGTGCCTCAGAAGTGGAACTGCAACATTTATAGACTTAAAGACAAGGCTGCAGGCTCCGTGGAACAACTAGGAATAACAGGGTGTCTTAGCCAAGCAGAGGAGCAGAAGGAGGGGGCTTCGAAGCCCAGTGTTTGACATGCTGCTATTAAACTGTTCCTTCTGGAATCTCTCCAATAGAAACACCAGTGCGTCTGCATGTGAAGCTTTTGAAAGTCATGGCACTCTCCTTTGAAAACACGTCTTAAGGCGTTGAGCAGGCTTCTTTCCTGACAAGTTAGCTCAGACTGCGGCCCTCGAAGGCTTTCTCCACCTGCGGTGTTGAGCTTCTCCGTCTCTTCCAGTGCAGGAGCAGAGCTCTCCTTGGAGATGCCTTGCGCTGTCAGCTGGGAACTATTTTTTTTACCATGGAAGGGCTGGGTGGTGGTGGATGCTTGCCAGTAAGATTAAACTGTTGTGACTAAAAACCACCTCAGGACACCTCTACTTTTAGAGAGCCATCAGGATGCTGGCAACATCTGCAGCTGAAATTTAATTTTCTATGCAAATTAACAAACTCATGCAGTTTGCTTACAGAAACCAAGTGATTAGGCACAAAACTAATCCATAAATAGGATTTGGGTTTTTTTTTTTTTCTTTTTCTTTTTCTTTTAATTCTAAGTTCTGTTTTGCCTGGAGTACAGTGTATTTGCCTGGAGTACATTGTGGACACTTGCCAAACATCTGGACCTCGCTGACACTCCTGGAGCCAAAGATACAATTCTGAAACTTTCAGATCCAATCATAAGCATGCAGGTTACTGCTTGTATTCTAAAGAGCAGAGTCGATGGTGCATTAAGTTTGTTGGCTTATTTTTCTTTTGGCAGAATTAAGATGCTCTGGTTTCAAGGAAACAGCCTGCAGATTGCCAAATCCTCATTTGGACTCTTGCGAAATCTCTCTGCCTCTAACACCACTCTGCCTGTGCTGACCTTATTCACAAAGGTACTGAGTGAAAGCTGATATTACACTTAAAAAATAAAGTGTTATCGTTGGGTGAAAAAAGTTATATATCCATCAAAAGTGGTCAAATCTGTAAAGAAAAGCAATAGGAAAAATTTTTCTCAGACCTGTTCTTCGGTATTTTGTCCCCAGACATTTTACTGTTTCTCAGTTATTGAGGGTACATTAGTATATACAATGGTCATTTTACCCCCTCATTTAAAAAAGAACTATAGATTATAATTATGATGTTTAAAACTATGCTATTTAGAAATAAGTCAGTTCTTATTATTTGTGGTAGTTACATCATAAAAAAGAAACAAACAAACAAAACACTATAAACATTGAATTAACAAATACAAAATCTAGGAAAAGTCCTGGGTTGGGTTCCCATCAGCACCTGGCCACAGTACTTTTGTGAACGAACTAAATGTATAACCTTAGTTTATGTATGTTTGTGTTTAAAGATGTCTTATTCAGTACATAGTGTTTAGTCATTAACATGTTGTTCTCCATGACAGCTTTCTCTTAGCATCATGCTTAGGAGCTGTTTTGTTTTGTTTTAAATCACCAACAAAAAACCCAGCCACAAAAAAATGGCATTACCCCATGGGACTACCTGTAAGGCTACTGATTTATGTTTACAGTAGAGAGCTAAAACAAGAAGGCGAAGCATTACCTTAGGAGACCTTACTGTAGAAATGAACACTCTGGCACTCGGACTGTTACAGCTTTGTGCAGAAGCATGTTTGTGACTCACTATAAAAGTGCTTCTAGTATTGTTTGGGGAGTTACAAATTTTATCACGTGGGCAAGTTCACATATAAAGAATCTAGGAATAATGAAGACTGATTGTACTTGTTTTTTTATCCCTACCTAGCGCTGCTATTAAGCCACAGGTGTGTGTGTGTGTATGTGTGTGTGTGTCTGTGTGTGTGTGTAAGAGAGATGTATAGATATATGTCTTTTCTATATATGTGCACACACCTGTGCAGGTGCATATGGAGACCTAAGGTTTTAGCAGGAATCTTCCCTCAGTCACCTTATTCTTTGAGGCAGTCTCTCAGACTTAAGGGATATAGCTAGTCTAGTAACTCCTCTGCCCTAGAGATCTCCTGTCTCCACCTTACAAGCACTGGACTTCCAGGCAAAGCCGCCAGGCCCACCCAGCATTTGCATGAGTTCTAGGGATCTGAACCCAGACCCCAAGCTTGTAATGCAAGTGCTTTAACCACTGAGCCATCTCTTCACATCCTTAATTTAAAAGTTTTAAGAGTTTTTCACCTTGTAACTTTGTAGTACAAGCATTAGTAATGTCTTTTTCCTAGTTAACCTGACTCTGTGGCATTTATAATCAGAAAGAAATGTGAAGACAACAAAAGTTACTTTTTTAAACACAGTAATTTTTTAAAATGTCTTTTGGTAGATTTTCAGATTTTAGCCATTTGACAATTTAAAGACATTCTGACAGTTGTCTAATAACCAAGTCTGCTAATTGTGATTGTCCACACCTGTGTCTCCCAGCACTTGGGCGTCAGAGTGAGCCAGAAGGATTAGAGCAGGTTCGGTCCCAGCCTAGGCTACACAGCAAGCATCAAAAGCCAGGGCTTACATAACAAGACCTTATCTGAACCTTACCCCCCCCCCCCAAAAAATACAGAGTTAAACTTCTAATTGAGAATATTTCATCTAATTTCATGCTTTTATGTCATCAATATGTATTGTACTGTTGGAAATAATAGAGCCAAAAATATTCCATTATCTGAGACAATATCCCCATAAAACTAGTTGTACTTACTTGGCCTATGATTGCCATGCACTGTTTGTTGGTTCCAACAGCAGTTGAGATAGCCAAGAACATTTGCAGAAAATAATCAAACAGACAAAAGGCCAATCTTATCTTCATCTTAATATGTATACTGAACCCTGCAAAGTGCATAATAAGATATAAGTAACACACAGTCCCATAGGAGAAGTATAAAAGTCAAGAATTTGCCCTTTATCTATGACTAGTAGAGTACACTTTGCAGATTGAGTTAAAAAGGGGGGGTGGATTGTTTTGGTTCCTGGTTCCAGGGAGCGCCTGAGTCAGGAAACAAGGTTACCAGTTTTTTCAGTTTTTTAATCTTCTGAATTAAATTCACCTTTGTATTGGCTCTCCTCTTTTATGACTGCAGCAACCCTGAGCCCGGCTCTCACACCTCAGACATCTATAGAGGTCTCAACAGAAGACCCATAACTATTCATGGCTGATTGGTCCATCCCTGAACCAGTCGTAGGCAACAGAGATAGGATACCCTAAATGTTTGCACCTGGTCCTGTGTTCCCCCTTTTCTTACTTAGAGATAGAATCGGCCACATGCCGAGTAGTTCCTTGGAACAAAACTGTAGCATTCTTGCTACAAGAAAGGATGGGTGGGTGTTAGATAGCAGTCCAACAGGTCAGGAGTAGGGTGAACAAGTGCTGTGGAGAAGCCTCAGAAAGGCCATCCTGGCCATGGACCTGTTATCTCGACGGGGCTCCTTATCCTTTCCAAAGCGTGGTGAGCCATTAGAAAGATCCATATAGATACACACTCACACATTTGCATTGGCAGCTTATACAACCTTCCACAAACCTGATTTCAAAAGCAAAACACCTTGACTGGGCTCGTCTCAAACTTTGCTGTAAGAGCAAACTATAAAGAAGGACATTAGGTACATCTGCAACTTAGTATGTTCTTGTTTGGCTTTTACTTGCAGCTCTTACATTGATCTTGTAACACTTTCTCAGAAAATCTTAGCACGATTATCTTACAGCAACAAGCTGTCCACAGTCTGTTTGTTGTTAGTGCTAATACCAATTTGATGAGGTGGATCCAGCCGAAAAGATCTAGAAATATTCAAGTCCTTATTTGCAAAACATGTTTTGAGTTAAGCTGAAGAAAAGGCCCGTCTTTTACGTAATTGCTTATCTCTTCCCGATATTTTTTAAAAAAAACAGCTTTTGCACAAACAGAACTAATACTGAATCTGTGTGAGCAGCTTTTACACAAGCAACAGTAGTGCTGAGTCTATTTGAACAGCTCTTACACAGGCACAACTAATACTGTATCCGTTTTGAGCTCACATAAGAGAACCTATAACTGGACTCTTAGGCACAGTGGCTAAGAAACCATTAATATCTGCCAATCTGTGTTCTCCCCCATCTTCCCCATAAGGCAGTTGAAGAATACAAGCCACAGCAGGTCCTAGCGCTTGCCTGCGCTTCAGGTAGAACATTAGCCCATTGTGGGTGCCTCTACTACTAAAACTGAGAAAGCACTGTGAAGTGCTACAGTCATGCGTCTGAATTGAAGACAGTTTGTTTTTCTTTCAAGGGTAGAATGGTCCCTGTTCCACTCCTCCCTGATAGAATTATTCCTCGGGACTGAGTAGGAAAATCAGCATGATGAAGTTCAGTACTTCCTAGTCAGGAAAGGCTTAAACCATTCAGGTCGATTATATGGAGCCACCAAGTTGGCTCTTTACTTAGGACAGAGCCCTTAGCTAGGTAGATAGGTCAGTGAGAAATAAGGAACATGTGATATGCACACACACACACACACACACACACACACCAGTAGATATATACACACATATGAGGAAAATAAAAACAACACCCAAAAAGTGCAGAGAGCATCTACCATGATGCTTAATGAGATTCTGTGGTGATGTTTTGCTTTGGGAATAAAGCCGTGTGATTAACCTAGTAGAAAACTATCCTTGGAAGTAAATGTAATATGCCTGTGCTGTGTGTTTGGTTTTTTCTTAGGTGGGAGGTCTTGCTCCAAATGCCTGCCTGTGGGCTTAACAGCTTTTGTTCTTCTTGTAGAATCCATGCCCACTCTGTGATGAAGCCAAAGAAGTCCTCAAGCCTTATAAAGACAGGGTAACTTTCATATATACGGGGTAAATAGAGCTTACTGTATAAAGTATCTGCTTAGATCCTTTCTTCGGGAAAAGAGATTAAATGATTTTTCACTTAGATTTTGTTTTTATTCCTCGGAGAGTTTATAGGGACTGATTTCCATGAAACCCATTACCCCGAAGTGCTTTTCTCTGAATATTACTGGATTTTTTTTCCTCCCTGATTCAGAGTTAACTACCAAGAGCATTCATGCTTACTTTACACTCTGGACCCATTCCTTTTCTCTTACATTGCAACTTCTATGGCTGTGTTTGCCTTTAGCAAACCATTTTAGCTTGGCCATTCTTACACCAGGACACCTACATCCTTATTTCGAGGCCACTTGCCAGCTCGGACATTGGGAACAGGGCAGAGCCCTGGTGCTGAGTGGAGCAGGTGTAACAGAGAAGTAGGGAAATCAGGAGGTGGAGTATATGTGATGAAAACAGTCAGGCTTTGGGAATTGGGGCCACTGGCTTACTGTAGGCCTGCAACTTTTTCATTACAACGTCTGCAGTTGGTGCATCATTGCAGTCAGTGCATTGCTCCGTGGCCTGTAAAGCACAGTGCTTTAACCTCTCCGTGTTTTAGTTTATTTTGCAGGAGGTGGACATCACACTTCCAGAAAATGCTACTTGGTATGAAAGGTATAAATTTGACATCCCCGTCTTCCACCTGAATGGCCAGTTTCTGATGATGCATCGAGTAAACACCTCCAAGCTTGAGAAGCAACTTCTGAAACTTGAGCAGCGGGCACTGGAGACAAACTGATGTCTTATGAGTTCCTCCCTCTCTGTCAGAAGGCATCTGCCTGAGGGGGGGACTGGGGTCTTGGATGTCCTTGTCACTTTCAAGGTGCCCTTATGATGGTATCACATAAATATGTTGCCGTTACTCCTCTGTTTGATGCAAGCACCTACATGAGAACAGTCTGCGTATGGGCATTGTGTAACCTAGTGCACTGTATGGAAGGGGAAGCTGTAGACAGAGAGGGATCTGTTTGGTGGTTATTGTTCCCTTTTGTGCCAATGTGGAAACACGTGTCGTGTCCTGGACAGTGCCCTGATAGGAAGGAGATGCTGCAGTCCTGCTGCTAAGCAGCCCTATTACTTTTAGTGGCGTAAATGCTCTTCCACTAAATAAACTGAAATGTGAATTGTTAAAAACTGTGCACAGTCAATAAAGGGGTGTTTTAATGAATACATCTGCACGCAGCTATTTCAGTGGAATTTAATAATACCTGTTTAAAATTAGTGTTCACTTTTGTTGAGTAGAAGAGAATAATTATCCTAGCCAAGGAGGCTTCTCTTCAGAAAGACAAAGGAGATTTACCCCTCCAGAATGTATATAACAGACTCTGCTGTTCATGTCATCGTGGAATTGGCTTGTAATGTTGAAGACTGCCTTAAGTTCTCATCAGTTAGGTCAATTCAACTAATTGTACGATAGTAACTTTGTCAAATTTTAGTATCTTGGGAAAATTCATTTTTCATCATAACTGAACACATATGTATATAAATCCAAAGTACCATGTTATATAAAGTATTAAAATGTGGTTTTGTCCCCTTATTTGTGTTTTGTCAGATTTGTCAAACATTGGAATGGATTCACTATTTTCCTCTTAAGTCAGATCACCATGAAGTTCTTCTATCCACTGTTACATATTGTGAGCCACTAGACCATAAGTGAGCAGTGTGATTTAGTCTTCAAGTTATAGGACATTACAGCCCACTCACCTTAGTCACCCTTTGACACTGTCCTTATATTATACCTGAGGAAGAATCTAAAGTTTAGGGAGTTTGGGAGTTAGTCCATAGTCACCCAGCCACTCGGCCAGGTCTTGCCCAGAACCCTGGCATTTCTTTTGTTCTCTGGACTTACAGTAGTTGTTCAATTGTATTGTTTCACATACAGCATCTCCAACCAGTATGGGTTCAACACAAAATAAGCTGTCCAAAGTCTAAAAAAAAGAAAAAAAAAAAACTTACAGTGGCCGCAGAGATGGCTCAGTGTTACGAGCACTTGTTGCTCTTCCAGGACATAGGTTCGTTTCCCAGCACCCACATGTTGGTTCACAACCATCCATGACTCCAGTTCCAGGGGCTCCAACAGGAACACATGTGGTACATGTACATGTATGCAGGCAAAACATTCATACACAATTAGTAAAATAAGGAAATTAACAAAAATTAAAAAGTCCTTATAACTGGAGAGCAATGTTCATAATTTACACATGTTGGTACTATATTTATTAAGCCCCTTAGTAGACAGACTTCTAGAATGACACTGGTGTCCTCACTCCTGTATATTCCCTCCCCCATGAGTGAATAGAAATGTCATTGTAGCTGTATGGTATTATATGGCAAAGGGGCCAGACAGTAGTGACTCATGTCTTTAATCCCAGCACTCGGGAGGCAGAGGCAGGTGGATCTCTGTGAGTTCGAGGCCAGCCTGGTCTATGAAGCAAGTTCCAGGACAGGCACTAAAGCTACACAGAGAAACTCTGTCTTGAAAAAAAACAAAAATAAAATATGGCAAAGGGGAAATTGTCCTGGGTGTTCCTGCTCTGTTTAGGTAAGCCATTGAAAGCCTCAGAGGCGTCAAAGAGGTCATTTCTAGCTATCCTGGAAACAAGAAAGTATTTGTCTTGTGAGCTGCCGGCTTGGGGCCACATAGCAAGAAACCGGAGGACAGTAGCCAAGAGGACAGTGGAGATGTTAGTCTTACACCTTCGAGGAAGTAAGTTCTACCAATAGTCAACAACTTTACAGAGGACCAAGCCCTGAAGGAGAACTACTGCTCTAGATAGCACCTCAACTTTAGCTCAGTGAGTCTCTGGTCAGAGCATCCAAGTACTCCACTCCAGATGCTCAGACAGTAGGGCTGACCATAGAGCGTGCAACTTGGCTCCTCTGAAGCATTGCCCTGCTGAGTATCGCCCAGTGGTGATGCTGTGTAGGAAGTGCAGCAGCTAAAGGTAAAATAGCACTTCATCACAGTTTCCACAGTCAAATTTTTTTTTCAAGCAAACAAAGATTCTATAATGTGGCGCTGTGTGGTAGTGCACACCTTTACTTCCAGCACTCAGGAGGCAGAGGTGGGCAAATCTCTATGAGTTCAAGGCCAGCTACTATATAGTGAGTTCCAGGACAGTCAGAGCTGTACAACAATACCCTTTGTTCCAAAAAAAAAATCTACAATGTGCTTATTTCCAAGATATTCGAAGGTATCGATAAAGGCATTAAAACAATAATGCCAATTCCAGAAACTATTATGTCACATCCAAGATTGCAGGAGATTAAGGAGAGGATACTGAGAGGGGGAAAAAAACCTAATAAGGGTGAGCTCTCACCTAGATCCTACCAAAATCAAAGGCATGGGGTCACCTGCTCTCAAGAGAGAGAGGGAGATCAGAAGGCTGGTGTATGTCCCGAGGTGAGACATACAGTGGTCCAAGTATGTCTTTGGCTGTCATTGGACAGACAGTTTGGCAAGCATGTTTGCTGTTGTTATGAAGAAAGCTACAAGTTTGTCCAGAGAAGTATGGGTGTGTGTGTGTGTGTGTGTGTGTGTGTGTGTGTGTGTGTGTGTGTGTGTGTGTTTGCGTGTCTGCCTGTTTGTCAGTCTTCCCTGACCAAATGTGGGCCAAGCAGGAAAGAAGGCACTTAGTGTAGGGTCCCTTCAGTATAAAATTAATTTATAGATATAAACATAGATATATTTACTACATGTATTGTTTATATATTATAGCATTATGAGCTCACTATAGCTATCCTATGATGTGAGCATTGGTTACATAGCCTAATGTTTCTTACTTGCAGATATCAACTAATTTACTTCTCTTTAGAGAGCAGTGGTTATGTGATGAAGATTCCTGGAAATCTTCAACAGTGCTTCTGGTCCCGGTAGCTGGCAAAGAGAAAGGAGGCAAGTCCCTGGAAATATGGTATCTAAAAAGCAATTCGATTATGCCACTGTTGACAAGTCTCAGAATGTCACTTGCAGGCATTTTCCTGTGATACTTGTAGCAGCAGGTACTTGTCTGAAATTACCTTCACAGAGACTGATTTGTTCTTTTTTTTTAAAATATTTATTTATTATGTATACAATATTCTGTCTGTGTATATGCCTGCAGGCCAGAAGAGGGCACCAGACCCCATTACAAATGGTTGTGAGCCACCATGTGGTTGCTGGGAATTGAACTCAGGACCCTTGGAAGAGCAGGCAATGTTCTTAACCTCTGAGCCATCTCTCCAGCCCCCCTGATTTGTTCTTAATGTAAAGATTTATACCATAAGCTCAACATCTACCCCCTCCCAAAAGTGATGCAGCTTTCCTTCCCCCACCCCCTTCCTTTAAGCTAATACTTTAAGGATTAGAAGGAACATTGAGTTGGGGTCTTCTGTTGCTGCTCTCAAATAGTTATTCGGTCTCTTCTTTACAGATACCTTATTGGGGTGTCATAAGGACTTACTGGAGTACATACTGTTTGGACAGTTTCTTTGAGCAAACCCAATTCACTCAGAGAAGGCTTTTGGTTTAATAATGTAACAGCTTCATGGGCATCTACAGCAGAATCACAATACGACATGCCATGACAAGCCATTTTGCCCTCTCACAGTGTCCTGGCGTCCTTTTCTTTCGTTCCCCTGCTCACGTGCTGGACCACTGCAAAGCTGCAGCCTGCCCATACCCATATTTCCTTCTGAGATTTCTATTCCACAGTACAACGCTCTGAGTGGCTTAAGGCCAGCTCTCCTCAGCTTCTCCATTTTGGAATCTCAGTAGAAATTTTACTGATATTTTACAGTCAGCCACCTAAATTGTAAGGTAATTGAAAGTCTGAGAGTACTGAAACTATGAGCCACCTTTTGGACAAAGGCCATTCCCTAGCCCAGTTGGCTGTGGTGATAAAGGTCATGTTACATGCAGATCGTGACCATCGTCCTTGTCCATGCATCAGAGAATGGAAGCAGGGCAGGCATAGTGATCAGTAGCTGCTACACATCCAAACATTTAAATGTGTCATTTCACTATACTCACCAAAAGTCAAGAGGATGGTGAGTTCGTTCATATCCCTCTTTGTAGAAATGAAGAAGTCTCGAACCAGAATGTTAGGCAAAAAAATTATCAAGAATTTAAGAAATGCATGATTGAATTACTGGGAAGGTGATGATGGTGAAGGTTTGGGAAACACAACTGTGAGGTCTCAGTTAATGACCAGTGTTCTTGCTTTACCACTGTGTAAAACCTGGTACTTACTCCTTGAGACAGAAGGTGTAAGAAGATGAGAAAGTTAGATTTGTGTTGTGTTTGATAGGTAAGGAAAACGGAACATGGTGAATTTGCCATGCTGTGCTTCATCCAGGTAAAGATTAAAATCCAAAGTGTGACACACAGGTCTTAGGCTTGAGGTGCAGATATTTAAGAGCCACAGGATATGGTTGGAATTTTATCCACTTGGCATATTAGGAGGAAAGCAAGCACGTACCAAGACCTGGAGTATACCTATCTTTACATAAAAACAGAGGAAGTTGCCACTGGAGGGATGAGAGCTGACCGAATTGGGAACAGTAGGAGCTTGTCCATTTCCTGTTAATATGGTAGCTGTGATTTGATGGTACCAGCGCTACCGAAGATGACACACTAAACCCGATAGCCAGAGATCCTTCTCCTGGGGGCTTGCATCCAAGGGAAAACCCACATCAATGGAAATGGCCGTCTTCTTAGAAGAGGAGCTTTCCTGAATACTGAGAGCTTTAACTGTCAGGAGAATTAGGACAGCAGCTGAAGAGACTCCAGGTTTAAAACAAGGGAATCAGTGCTGCCATAAACTAAACATTCCCCCAAGATCCCTGAGTCCTCGTCCCCAGACTTGGAAATGTTTCTTATAGTGAAAAGGAACTTTGAAACTGTGATGAATCTCAACATGGAGAAATTCTATTATCCACATTTAATTGCATGTCTATTAAGAGGGAGACAGGAGTCTTGACTGCAGAAAAGGAAAGAGGAAATGTGGAAACAGAAGCATGAGGTTAGCCTGATACAAGAAAGGGGTCATGAGCTTAGGAACCTTGGAAAAAGCAAAAGGTCATAGGGCAGTGGTTCCCAACCTTTGGGCCATGACCCCTTAGGGGGTCTGGTGACCTTTTCACAGGTCTCCTAAAACAATCAGAAAATGCAGATATTTATATCACTATACATAACAGAAGCAAAATTAGAGTTACAAAGTAGCAAGAAAACTAATTATGGTTGGGGTTACCACACATGAGGAACTGTATTAAAGGGTCACAGCACTAGGAAGGCTGAGGACCACGGCCACAACATGAGGAACTGTATTGAAAGGTCACAGCGTTAGGAAGGCTAAGGGCCACAGCCACAACATGGCGAACTGTATTAAAGGGTCACATCATTAGGAAGGCTGAGGACCACAACCACAACATGAGGAACTGTATTAAAGGGTCACAGCGTTAGGAAGGCTGAGGACCACGGCCACAGAGCCTTCAGCGTGAGCAGCTGTGCTGACACCTCAAGTCCACTGAAAGTTATTTTTTATTTCTAGTGGTCAG